ACATACATACATACATACATACACGAACTCCTTTTCATATACACATTAACACAGACACACATACACTCATACACATACTCACAGGCACATTCACACACGTAAATATATCTTTACAATAAAGATAATTTTGCTTGTATAGATCTAGATGTTAATTTTCGTTGTTGTTTTTCTTTCCTTTCCAGAATCTACCCGGCCATTTCGAGGGTTGTATCAGAAATGTGCGCATCCCCACCGCACTTCTCTCGCCCCCGAAGTACTATGCCGTCTCTGTATGTGACTAATTGCCCTCGCTACACTTATCAGCACTGCCGCAAAACACGAATGATGTACAAGACAATGACGCCATAGGATGGTCATTGCTCTTCTTGCCCTCTCCTCACTGCTGCAGCACTCGTTGGCATGGTTACCGGTACCGGAAATGGACGCCCACGAAATTATGCTCTATTACAGTACTGTGACATGATTCAGTGGCTTTACTAGGTTCGGGGACATTACATAATGCGTATTATTAGACACCAAGCACACTTTTAGTATGTTTTGCCTGCGGGGAACTGTCCTGCAGCTGTAGAGACTAAGATGTGTCTGGTTGATTGGGAAACAGGCACCAAAACCTGCGCAGTTGACATTTTCATAGTGATTTACGAAAAGTTGGGGAGACGATGGGCGTGAAACATTCTTCCAATTGGAAAGAATTTAACATTCTAACAAGTATGGACGATACTAGAATTCGGAAAATAGGACGAAGAGACGTGAGAAAGGAAGGAAACCCAAAAAAAAGAGACAATTCAAGATATGACGTATACAAGACGCTTAATCGTTATAAAATTAATCTTTACTGGTGAGTTTTAGCCGGTGTCCATTCTGCAAACAATAATAATATAGATCTAATATAATAATGCTAGAACTGGCTAGAGCTATTCAAAAACGATTTTGGCTTCGGAGTTAAAAACAATGAGACCATCAACACTGTCGTGTTTTTTTCTGAATGTATGTGTACAAATGTATGCAATTCTGTGTCTTGGCTTTTGTGCATTATATTTGTAAAAACAAAAAATAAAAAATAAATAAAGATAAAAACTTAAATTTAATGTGAATAAAGAATCTCCAGTCCCCTCCTGTTCTCCAGTTGCAATGAGGGTGACGATGATGATGATGAATATGAATATGATGATGATGATGATGATGATGATGATGATGATGATGATGATGATGATGATGATGATGATGATGATGATGATAAAAAAATAACATGAGCTGTCTTCAGAAACACGAGGAAAACCAAAAAAGTAATTTCGATTTCTTTTTATTTTCTCAATATAGACCTTCGCCAGGCGATCGACAACAATTGATTCTCTTAAGCACAGGAGTCCGTATTCAAAGACAGCAATAATTGACGCACTGGAATACATAAGTCCAAAATTGTAAATATAAGAATGTCTAAAGATTTTTTTTGATTGATTCATGTGTTAGCGTCCCTGAAGTTGTAGCAGGGTTTAGATGCAGTGGCAGCGAAGCTAATTTAGATTAGTTGACTAGAAGTAGGGGCTTAGTGATAGCTGGTGGGCATCTAAGTTTAGCGCACAATATTTTTCAAAGAAAGGGTGGTGGACGGGCAAAAAATTGCCATTATCGCTCTTCTTAGGAAACATTGAAATAATTTACGATGTTAAAGATTTTTTGAAAAATGCTATTGAATTCATCTAGCACTGCTCACGCCAAGCCACACAGAATTGCTTGTACATGTAGATTATAGTTTCAACTTCAAACATGCAACAACAAAAAAAAGCTCCACAAAATAGATGACGACGCACGCTTTTAGAAAGTAGAACAGCTTGAAAATGTTTATAACTGTTTCACTCGTACACGAACTTAATTTATTTATTTTTAAAAACGTACTCATAATTCATGTTCATATTCATTCGTTCACTCACCCACACATTAACTCACTTACTTTCTCTCATACTCACTCACGCACTTTCTCTTTCCTTATCACTCCCTCATTTTCTGGTGGTTTTCGCCCATTCACTAGGAAGTCATTAAAACATAATATTATATCATTAATGTACAACCAATCAATTCGGCTGTTTGTGCATAATCTAGCAATCTCCAACCAATTTGTGAAATTCTCTTTACGTTATGCTTTCTTATTTTTTGTCAAAAGTGGATTACCTGCCGAGACTAAGAATTAAGTGCGAAAAAGGAAAGAGCGTGGGAGAGGGTTTGTGAAATAACTGAATTTCTGATCAAACGAGGAACTATGGACTGTTGGCTGCAATTAAAGTGAGACAGCAAAAAGAAGTTACATCATGCAGATTATCTATGTGGAGACATTGAATCTTATAACGACTACTCGTATTTAAAAAATCCCAAAGGACAGAAAGCTTAGTGTGAAAATAAAGTGAACGCGATACGGGGCGATATTACAAAAAGAAAAATGGGTGAGGGGAGGTGGAGAGGGGGTGGGTGAATGCTATTTCAGCACATTTATTTTAATTTATAATTGGAATCACCTGCTTACTATAAATCTCTTTCACTTTGATGCACATATTTTTTGCACATTGCACCATGCACTAAACAATGCGTGCGGAAGTAAAGAAGCTTGCGCACTATTGTTTTCATTTAAACTTCTCCAATGGAATGAAGTGATCCAAGAGAATGGTTTAGACAGGCACGACGACGTTGGCATCCAAACGTTTTAGGGTGGCATGTGATTAATGAATATGGAAAAACTGGCGAAAAGACTAATCAGCCGGTCACACTAGCTTGGACAATTTCCTGCTTATATTCATGTTGTCTGCTGTTTTTGACTATGCCATAGACACAATGCACTGTATTTCTGCTGGTAAAATTTCAGTACACATATTAGACGGTGGTGTCGAGAGCGTCGAACTTCGCATTAGCAGGTCATATCGTTAGAACACATCATAAGTTATTGATTTGTAAATTTGTACAAGTTCCCTGTCGCTTTGTTTTGTTTTATTGACGATGAACTTCTTTGGTTGTACGTGCTACAATTTTGTTTTGTTGGATAACAATGCTCGGAAGTGGAAATAAATACGTTGTTGGTTATATGAACGTGAACTGTTGTTTTGTTTTGTTTTGTTTTTTCCTTGTTAATTTACTTCATAATGTCATCATCATTTGGGTTTGAATATTGTACGCTTATAGTAATGATTGTCATAGCTCGATCAAGTCAAAATCTTTTAAAAAAATTTTTTTTTTTTTACAAATAGCTCTTCACTACCTGCATCTATACTTTTACCGATCTTTCCCTCGGGGGCTCTCGTGGCCTAGAGGTTAAGGTGTTGGCCTCTCATTCAAAGGTCCTGGTTTCGAATCCGGGTAGCCACCGAAAAAAATCTCTTAAATTGTCTCCATTCTCCTCCTTTCCTGCTCTCTAGCAATGTTCTGTTGTCTGCTTTCATTTCCACTGTCTCCCCCCCCCACCCCCTTTGCCCACTCCTCTGGGCTCCTGACTCTTTCTGCAGCCTTTCTACTGTTGATCTTTGGCTCCTCCTTACTGCTGTCTTTCTGCCACACCCCTGATCTTCTGGAAGGAAAGATCTATACCTAGCCTTCTCGGACAAGGGCGAAAAATCTCGGAGTGCCCGTGTGCAAGTTGCGCACGTTATGGATTCCTTTGTGGTCTAAAATCGATCAGAGGTGGCTTCGGCCGCCACCCGGGCAAAATTCAAAATTTCCTACCAACTGAAAATATTAGGTGCGTCCCGCGCGCTCATATGACCTGCAGTTGCGAGCGCCGTAAAACACTTATAAAAAAACCCCAATAAAACTTTCCCTAGTGGTTCTTGCCCGAGTGTAAATAAGCAGTGTTTTCTCTTTGTCCGGTTCAAAACAATTGATTCGATCAAAAAATGCGACGACTTACATTGTGACTCGTATCACTACGTCGTCATACTTTGCATTTTGAATGCATAAGAATAACAGTAAGTTGATTTTAAAAAATTCTCTTTTTACGTTTTTTCTGGCTTGCTCGTATTTTCTGTCTTAGAGATTTCCAATTATCTTAACTTAAAGACGAGGTTTTGCTTGTTTGAACAAAATAAAATAAAATGAAAGCTATGTTGAAATATTATGTTCCAGAATTGCACAGTAAATAATATATAGGCTACATTTTTTTAGCTTCAAATGGACGCGCAAAAAAGCAACCCGAGCCGGGGAGAAGTACCCTTTCACATCAAACACGTTTAAAAATTTTTTTTCGAAAAAACAAATTATCAGGATTTTCTTATATCATTTAAAATCACAAAACTCAAAGTTAATGGAATCAAAAATTATTAACAAAAGATTAATGTTTTTGTGTTGGACGAGCTATAAACAGGCCATTTTGGAAAACCCAAAGAAAACAATGACAGTATCATAAACAACGTCAATAACAGTGCACAGAATAAACTCCAGCTGTCCTTTACAGGAAAACATGTTTATTGCGAAATATGTGTCAGCTATAGTGTTGGAATCATAATATTCGACTGACGTCAGTTGTGTAGCGGATAGGCGCTTCGCCGTCGCACGCAAAGGATCCGATTTTGATTCCAGTGCGGGGATTTTTAAAAATCAAGTATGAAGTATCTCTGTCTTCCTGTTGGGGTATTGTATTGTATCCCTCTGAATCAGGGTTGGCCCTACAGGCAGGGTCGAAGCCAATCTGCTAAATAATTTAAATTATATAAATTATATCAGTTGTGTTGTTGTTGTTGTTGTTGTTGTTGTTGTTGTTGTTGTTGTTGTTGTTGTTGTTGTTGTTGTTGTTGTTGTTTGGCGAAGGGGTGGGCGTAGACCTGCATTAATTTTTATTTGTTGTAACGAAAGACAGTGAAAATATAGACTGCTGCAGCTTTGAACTCCAGCAGCTAATGTTGAAAAGTTGAAGAGTTCGAATCGAGACCGATTTCGCCTACTATCCATACACATCTATAAAATAAATAGATCAGAAATGTTTGCAATTCAAAAGGTCAACAGGTTTATTAACACCAAAGGGAAGTTCCCCCCCCCCCCTTAAGGAGGGGAAGGTGGGGAGAGGAGGAGATCGACAGCCACAGTGAGAAAAAAAAGACGTTTATTTTACATTTAACAAATTAGAGATATTGGAATGGCGAACAAGACACAAAGTTGAACAATTTCGGAGTGAGGCCCAAATGTAATTTAGAAAGGGAAGAGGGTGCACCGACGCAATATTTGCCCTACGACAAATGTGTTAAAGGGCAAGAGAACACAACAGGGAACTAAACATAGTATTTGTCGACCAGGAGAAAGCGTTGGACGGAGAGAACAGAAACCAGCTGTGGAAAGAGCTCGAAAACTACACTGTAGGAGGCCAACTTCTAGTTCTAGATAACATCCGTGCCATTTACGAGAACAACATAAGTACAGTAAGAGCGTCAGAGGAATTCACAGAATGATTCGAGATAACATCCGGAGTAAGACAAGGTTGTGTCTTATCACCACTACTATTTATCATATATTTGGATAGAATTACAAAAGAGGCAAGCACAGAACCAGACACCCTAAAAGACGACCAAAGCCTGGCACACAAAGATGAACACAATCTCCAACACCACACCACCAGATTAAACAAAGAATGTAACAATGTAACATGAAGATCAATATCAACATAAGACAATGAATGTAAGCAGAAATCCAGGACAACTCAGGATACACACCAACAACAAGTTTCAGACTGGTCCAAGAATTTTAGTACCTCGGACGTATATTCACAGAGTATGGGCGAATGGACAGAAAAATTTAAACACGAGTACAGAAGGTCAATAATGTTAGTTACCAGCTTTCTCCACTACTGAAACATCCTAACATCCCCATAACAACAAAACTCAAAATGATCAACACCATATAATTTATCCAACCACTCAACTATCAATGCCAAACATGGACCACTATAAAGACATTATAGCACTTACCTGACTTAATTGTGTTGCCGGTGCGGTAAAACTTTTACTAAAACAAATAAGACAGCGCACTCTACCTATTATTCCACACAATATTCTAACTGAACACTCTCTTTTTAATGC